CTGTCACCCAGGCTGGAGTACAGTGGCGTGATCTTGGCACCCTGCAACCTCTGCCTCCTGGGTTCAATTGATTCTCCTGCCTCAGCCTCCTGAGTAGCTGGGATTACAGGTACATGCCACCATGCCACGCCTGGCTACTTTTTGTATTTTTAGTAGAGACAGGGTTTCACCATGTTGATCAGGCTGGTCTCGAACTCCTGTCCTCGGGATCTGCCCGCCTCGACTTCCCAAAATGCTGGGATTACAGGCATGAGCCACCGTGCCCAGCTATTTTTTTTTTCTTTTTTAATTTTTGAGACAGGGACTGACACTGTTGCCCAGGCTGCAGTGCAATGGCACAATCAAGGCTCACTGCAGCCTCGAACCGCTGGGCTCAAGCAATCCTCAGCCTGAACCTCACAAGTAGCTGGGACTACAGGCACTTGCCACCATGCCCAGCTAACTATTTTATTTTTTGTAGAGACAAGATCTCACTGTGTTTCCCAGCCTGGTCTCAAACTGCTGTCCTCAAGCTATCATCACATCTTAGCCTTCCAAAGTGCTGAGATTACAGGTGTGAGCCACCGTGCCTGGCCTCTTACTGCTATTTTCTATTTGTCTCCTCTGTTCTTTGCTCTCTTTAAATGTTTGAGGAGGAAACATTACCCATCTTACACAAACTCTTCAGAAAATAGAACAGGCCAGGCGTGGTGGCTCATACCTGTAATCCCAGCACTTTGGTAGGCTTAGATGGGGGATCACTTGAGGTCAGGAGTTTGAGACCAGCCTGGCCAACATTGTGAAACCCCATCTCTACTAAAAATACAAAAATTAGCTGGGTGTGGTAGCATGTACCTGTAATCGCAGCTATTCAGGAGGCTGAGGCACAAAAATCCCTTGAACCCAGGAAGCAGAGGTTGCAGTGAGCTGAGATTGCACAACTGCACGCCAGCCTGGGCAATAGAGTACGACCCTGTCTCAAAAAAAAAAAAAAAAAGGAAAGAAGAGAAAAGAAAATAGAGGAACATCTCCCAGCTCGTTTTTGAAGCCAGCATAATCCTGGTACCAAAACCAAACAAGGACATTGCAAGAAAAGAAAATTTAGACCAATATTCCTGTTAGCATATACATACAAAAACCTAACAAATTTTAGAAAACCAAACCTGGTAATATAGAAAAAGGATAAATAGACCACTCGTGGTGGCTCATGCCTATAATCCCAGAACTCTGGGAGGCCAAGGTAAGCAGATCACTTGAGGTCAGGAGT